AGGGCTGCCCTGTTTCCTTAATAGCCAGCATCAAAAGTCTTTTGGAAACCCAAATATGTATTAAAAATTTGTTTAATACGGACAATTATACTTAGATAAATTGCCCTCATATTTTAGCTTATATGTTATCTTCTGCCTGTGTCATACTGTGTAGTATCAGTATATGCTTTCTCGTCGTGCACCATTTCTTCTGAAATACAACTTCATTAGAGGGACATTAAAATGCATTAATGACGTGAGCTATATTCTTATATCAAAGTTCAAACTTCTTATCTCAATTTGAACTGGAAAAAAATTGCAGAACATAAAACTTTACATTTCAGATAAATCTTTCTATTCTTTTTTAAAAAATTGGGTTGCTACTTTCATCCTCTAAGATCAAGGAACTAAATATGTGTTCAGTATAAATTTTGTGCCCTCCTAACTGAAAGATCTTTATCCGTTGCATGAGAAATTAATGCAAAATCAGTGTCTCAGGTAAAGATTGTAACCATAAATCTATGGGTTATATAGATAGATATTCATATTTTCTCTAAATGAGTATATAATGAACTAATATTCTTCTGTGAGAGATGTAAGTGATTGAGAGGGAGTTTGCTTCTGTTAAACAATAGCAATATTGCTAAAAATTATTTTAAAAATTTCAGTGGTGATACATGTATGTAGTTTCTGATGATGTATTAACTTACTTTCATTAAGCTGTTCTTTCAAAACTCAGAGTGTTTAAATTTAGCCTCCCAGCTTTTGGAGCATCCAGATTTACTAATGAAAGTCTTGCTTGGTCCATAGTAAATTAGCTATAGTTAAAAGCTGAAACAATTTAAAAATAAAAAAGTCCTTGATGTCACTACTGAAAATAGATGTACATTGAACGTTGTTGAGGACTTGAGATGCAGAATGGATAACCTCACCTGAAGAAAATATGGAGGAATGAGTCACTTGGCTTTTCACTCTTGGAATTCAGGACATTTCTTCCTTGTCAGCTCAGAAATTAGTTCAGTAAATATTGCAACAGTTTTCTTAAGTCAAATCCTCAAAGAATGAATTTGTCTTTGTGGAAGTGTTTGCATGATCAGGGTCTGGAATAGCAAAAAGAAGATAGAAAGCCATTCTACAGATAGAGGAAACAATAATAGAATAAGATACCAGGGAGATGGCGCCAAAAATAGGTGTTTATATATTGGTCAGTTGTGTACTCTATTCTTCAAATAAAAAAATGTATGTTTTTTTTCACCCCAAACCGAAATTATTTAGATAAGAGAAATGCTATACAGAAATGTACATATTCAGTCAGCTAATTATTGTTATATAAAATCTATTAAAAATTTCCTGCCCTTCTGAATTTGCTTTTGCAATTCAAAATTCAAATTAGGGCTCTGATGCCTACATATTAGAATATATTTTATATGTAAATAGAGTAATTGCAACAGACTACTCTAAAGACAGGAATTTTGTCCCTATTTGTGTTGTTCAGTGAAGCATAAGCAGCAGAAATCATGCTCTCAAGAAAGATAAAAAGAGTAAAATCCTGCGTACCTTTAAAATAATTGGCTTTGTATTTGTGCATGCACAGCAGGCAAGGACTTAATGAAAACTTTAAAATCCTTCATTCATACAGCCTCATGGAGTGTAAACAACCAGGTAGAAGACTTTGATAGACTGCCTCATTATAGAGGTGCCTGTGCCATTTAATCACAAAGCAAACAGCAAACCAGTGGCCTCTTAGAATGTAGAATGTAATTTTTCTATTTGAAAACTATTTTGCACAAGCCAAACTCAATTGCTTAAAAAAAAAATGAGACACCTATTCCAACCTACTTACATTGACTCACACACATTTTCCTTACAGCTTCGGACGGATATGCCTGGTTGATATTCAGAGCTGTCAAAATATTAACACTAAGTTTATTTATAAAATACTAATTAGCTTTGATTATGAAAATTCTTCATAATTTCTCTATACCCTTTAATTTTATCATAATTGGCATTAATAAAACCTGCCTCTCATGCGGCTTTTGTGATTTCTTTGTAATTTTTGTAGAATTCTGATACAGGCCAAAATCCAGGTAAAAATGTTAGAATTGGAAGCAATTTAAAATCCTATATTAAAAGTTATTTGATTTTAAATTTTTTATAAACTGGTTTTTCATCAGCGTTTTGAGAATAAGTATGTTTGAAGATGTTAGTCAAATCCACTGTGCCATGCTGTCATATCACAGACTTAAATTTTTTCCTTTTAATCTTTATTTAAAAGTACCTAGTTAATAGCAATATTTGGATATTTGCCAACTACTAAATAATTTGTGTTTTCTTAATCATGAATGCACTCTATCCTAATTATAACACTTAAATTCCATCTTGACAGTATAATTAAACTTTAAGAAAATATGTAATTAAATCTTTCCTGATGGAATTCAATTTATAATTGTCCCAGTTTAGCACCAGTCAGCAACTAAGCCACACACAACTGTTTGCACACTCCCCACAGTGGGACGAGGAAGACAATCAGAAGGGTAAAAGGGAGGAAACTCATAGGTTGAGATAGAGACACTTTAAAAGGCAAAGGAAAAACTGTGCGCACAAGCAAAGCAAAAGAAGGAATTCATTCACCACTTCCCGTGGGCAGGCAGGTGTTCAGCCATCTCCAGGAAAGCAGGGCCCTGTGACGCATATTGGTGACTTGGGAAGACAAACGCCATCGCTCCAAATGTCCCCCCTGCCTCCTTCTTTCCCCAGCTCTGTATGTTGAGCGTGGCACCATATGGCGTGGAACGTCCCTTTGGTCAGTTGGGGTCAGCTGTCGTGGCTGTGCGTCCGCTCCCCGCTCCATGTGCACCCCCAGCCGCCTTGTTGGCGGTGTGGTGTGAGAAGCAGAAAAGGCCTTAGTAGGCCTGTGTAAATGCTGTGTAAACACTGCTCAGCAGTATGGAAAACATCCCTTTGTTGTGAGCACTGTTTGCAGCACAAATCCAAAACACAACCCCATAGTAGCCATTGTGAAGAAAATTAACTATATCCCAGTCAAAACCAGCACAGTAATATAATACTCAGCAAATAGAACCTCTCATTGAGTTATGCACAATTTTGTTAGAAGTATAAATGAGTTATCTTTCACCTTTTTTTTTTTTAAGAAGGATGTAAATACTGGGCTACAAAGACTACAAAGCTTGTTAAGCATAAATAATTTTGTACAAATGTACACAGTTCTTCAGACCAAGAGTGAAATTCTGTCCTGCGAAGAGCTTTAACAGAAGTCTGTGCAAAGACTTATATCCCAAATAGCTTGTCAAAGTGAGACTGAAGAGTCTTGTTTAACAGAATGAACTGTCAGCTTTCTGCACAGAGCTGGATTCTGCCCTACAGTTACAGCAGGTTGAAACATGAACTATTTCAGCCATGACATTTTCTTGCATTTAGGTGAATGTTTGAATCAGCAGATATTTATACAGCTATAGCTGCTTTTTACAGTCAGTCTCACTGAAGGTAAATGGAGCCTGGTTATGTCTGTCAAGAGATTCTGTATGCAAATATATGTATATCAGAAAGATGAGGTGGCTAGATGGACTGAGGGATGGTATCGACAGGGACTTTCTGTATAGCTACCCAATTTCCATTGTCTGAAGGCAAGTAGGAAATACAGGTACTTTTTCAGGTATTGAAACTGTTCAACGTTATTAATTTGATCTTTAATATGTTACTAACCTCAATCGTGTCAAAGGGAAGCAAAAAAATACACAGGGGAACCCTGTATGCAGTTATAGCAGGAGAAAGACTGTGAGCACAAAGTGCTCTTTTATGAGATAACCTTTCTGCTGTAAAGGTGACGTGAAATATGCAGAAGCTACTGCAAATCAGAGCAAATCAAACTGCTAGAGCAATCAGGTTGCCATCTCTGCTTTTCATTTTGACTAATTAGATACTTAGCTAAAAGCCTCTGCAATTTACATAGTTGTTTTTCCTTTATATTATCTTTAATTTGCTGTTTCTTTAAAAAATATGATCAGTAAATTATAAATTCTATGTATTCTTCTATAAAGCTCATCTATTGTGAATAGATACTCAGTATTTTTGTTTCATCTGTACCTAAGATTCATAGGACAGAATAAATCATTTCAGATTCAGTAAATCAGCAGCTGGTTTGCTGTATTTTACTGTGTACTTTTTTTTTCATTATTATTATGTGTGGGGTTTATTACATGTACAATATACGTAGGAAACCTGTGCCAGTTTCTGGACTGGACTCTCATAGAACTTAGCACAGTGGCTCTTTGTCCTATCCTGAAAAATCTGCATTTTTCAGATTTCACTGAAGAGATATGTGGTTTGTGTCATGATAAAGGAGAGTCTTAATAGTTGTCATTTATCATCCAAGGAGGAACATGGACCCCAAGAAAAAGGTGATTCTCATTAATGCTTCAGACAAATGAAGTTTGTCTTTCCTTTCCTTTTCTTTAGGAAAGCAAATTCACAAGCTCTGTGGACTAAAATTCTTAGAGGGTCAACCTTTCTTATAGGGTTTCAGTATATCTATGCCTACAAACAGTAATGTCTTGATCGTGTTCTTCTGGAATAAATGGCAGGTTTTCCATTGATTTAAATGCAGATCATATAGAAAAAAAAAGGACATCCTTATGCAAGAGACCAAAGGAAAACTACTGATGTTTAAAAACTATATGAAAACTCAAGAAAAGCTTCAATTTTAGTATTTGAAATAAAAAAAAAGAAGTTTCAAATCCGGCTGATTTTGTTTGTGTTGCCTTTATAGAAGAGCACTGGAATTAAGTGTCTACAATGAGACATTTATGGAAATGACAGATACAACAATTAGAGACCAGATGGAAGGTTTCTCCAAATATTACGTTTAAAGAAATACAATTATTATATCAGAAATTAAAGAATGTAAATTGATGTTTTTGATTAACAATTTGAACTTAAAATAAATATTTTATTTTGTCTTTATTAGAAGTGGAAATAAATATTTTTTTTTTTTCCTTTCCTAGACTTCCTTTCAAAATTCATACCCCATGATGCAAAGTTTAGTTTCACCTGTAGATACATGTTTTCATGGGAGTCACATAATGGGCAATGTAAGATTCTGGCCTATGGAGAAAATGGTAGCAGCCCAAAATACAACTTAAATGAGGTAGAAACAACTCATCACCACTGGGAATTAATTCTATANAGGCAGAAGCAACTCATCACCACTGGGAATTAATTCTATATCTGTATGTTTGGAAAGTGAGAGATTTCCAGTCATTTACTTCAAAACTGTCTTTTTGTAAGTTTAAAAAACTCCTTATTTCATCTGCTCTGTAACTTAAACAAATATTAAAATACTTTTGCTTTCACTAGATCAGATTTCCTGAAAAGCTTTACAGCACCTAACATGGGACTCATAGAAAGTGAAGTACATGGCAAATACGCATTATCCTTTTAATTTCATACTTAATGTTACTGTAATTCAGATACAATATTAACACAGTGCTTTTATGAGGTAATTATTCTGTCACTTTGTTAGTTTGCTCTTTACATGAGTTAGTGCTTATTTCACAAAGCAAAGCTATATCCAAGATAACTGAGATGACCAAAGGAATCAGGCCTGTTCACCCAAAGGTTAATAATGAGAGACCTGGATAATTTAATTCGTAACTCCCTTTGTTACTCTCTTTGTTACTCTCTTCCTGGTTACAGTGGTTGCCTGCACAGCTGCTCTAGGGGTCATAGCAACAGTAATAATTCATTGTACACACCAAAAGGGTTCTCTCAGAGTACAGCCATGCTAATTATAGTAACTATATTTTAACTATTAAAATCCTCCTTTAAGACGAGGAAATGTAAGTTTTCAGAGTTAAAAAATGGTATTGCCATTTTACTTGCTTGGGGGTTCAAGATCTAATGAAATTAGAGATTTAAAGTCTTATGCAAGGATGTAATCATTCATATCCAGTGATTTGGCAGAAGCACAGTAAGGGTAGAGGTAATACCAATTCCACCATCCTGTCTTCTCAAAGTGTGGCTTCTGTAGTCTGCTCATACCAAATTACATAAATATCTTTGTTGTACTTTTTAAATCTTCTGGATCTTTGCTGACATTGCTTAAAGGTGTGCTGATTACTATCAGTTGTTGTAGTACTGGACACCTGTGAGCTTGGAACTGGGCAAAGACAACCAATTTATTTTAGGTAGGACACTGAACAGGCAGCAGATGGTAATAAGCTTCAGTCAACACCAAGCTGGGGAGGATTCACACCACCAAGCTAGATGTGGTAAACTCAAAATCCCTTGACTAATCCCATGAGCCAGCCATTCTCCCTAATTGTGTCTTTCCATAAGAAGATGTACTTTACATGTTCCAGTCTCAGCTGAATGAACAAACATGATTTAATGTACTGACTGTAGGATTTTACTAATCTATTTATTAGTTCCCCTTTCAAGGGAAGTTATAATGATGTGTTTTCACTTAAAGCAATTACAATGTATTTTTAACAGGGGAAATTACTTAGATTATAATTACAGAGCATTATGCTGTACTTTTAATGATTTTACTCTTTAGAAAAATGAACAGTGAGAATCCTTTTGCATAAAGTTATTACCTTGCTCTTACAATCTAATACTGACTTCCTTGTCAGGCTGTTGGGTCACCACAGCTGTTAGATCATGGGCTTCTTTCTTAGACTAAAACAAAAGCTAAAAAATAAATAAATATTTACAATTGCATTTATAGCAACTGAAATATTTGAATCTTTGTATAGTTTTGAGGCAAAACCCAAACTACTTGTGTGAAGATTTTACTGCTGTTTCTTATATTTATAGTTCTCAATGTTGAATGTCTAAACTAGAAAGTAAAATCTAGTGCTATAGCAGCAACAATTCTATGAAACAGTAAAAGCAAGCATGCCTTGTCCTATGTGTTCAACAGATAAGGACGATAAAATGAAAGGTAGAACAAATGCAATTCCACTCCATAAAGCAAAGGAAAAAAAGGGCCAGGAGGAATTGGTTTACAGTCTCATGAGAAAAGTGGACAATCACAAAATGGTAGATATGGAGCATGGCAGGTAAATCTTCAGCCTTGTGCATCCACTGGTTTACATGGAGGCATTTTTGCGATGGAGGGAGTGTCACGTGCTATGGGCTCTGTATCAGTATGAAAAGAAAATTTCATCCCTCTTCTTCTTGGCTACTGTGTAGACTCTTTTATAAGAAGGCTATTTGGCTGAGCAGTTTTTGCAATGTTTTTCTTAAAATACATTAAGGAAGTGAGGCACATTTTCCTAACCTTGAGTCTTTCAGCTGGTATAGAAATTACTAAAGAGAAATCTCACATTAGTGAGGTTATTTCAGTAAATCCTCTGTACAGAGACCTAAGTGAGGGAGAAATGAACTATTATTCTTCTCTTTCATTCTCCTAAGTTACCTCTCATCATCTAGGTCCCCTTGTGTTGAAGGCACTTTTCTAAAAACAAGCAAGTAAAAAGCAGAAATGGTACTGTGTTGTAAAAGTGAGACAGAAAACAAAAAAGTTAAAGATTATGGATTTACAGCCAAATGGTAGAAAACATTATTCCTTTAACAGTATTGCTGTTATCTCTTTGGTAAATACTTGCACTTTTTAGATATTTCACTGTGCAATGTATGTTAATAAAGGCTGCTTTGGTGAGTTGGGCAGTCTGATATGAGGGAAGTTCTGAACTCTAGGTATTTAAAGCAAGAAAGTGAGAGACTGGCTCAATGCTTTCCTAGACAGGAAGTGCATTGGAAATGAAGTGAGCTGATAAAATTTGGACCTTAAATGCACGCCTGAAATATGGGACTGAGTGCAATGAGAACAAAAGTAATGGATTGAACGACTTCATGCTGCAATGAAATTAGAAGAAATAAGAGGCTGAGAGGATGGGGTGGGACCCATCTTGTAATGCAGGGCTTTCCTTTAGTCACAGAAGTGCATTAAATCCTTTAGGTGTGGGATGGCTGTTTGTTTAAGATGAGCTGGCTAGGTGCCATTAGAACCGTTTTGTTCTGGTAAAAGTCTATCAAGACTTGACATTTTTGCTGTGAATCTCTGAAAGGGTTACAGGATTTGACAAAAAACTGATGCTGGCTCTTGGGGTATGCGGGTGGGCTGGAGTTGTAAAGATGTGAGTGGGGAAAAAGCAAAGTATGGAGGTTTGATTCAGAGCAGTTCTTTAAAAGACAGAGAAGACTCTGTGGAAGACAAAACATGTGTTCGATGTGCTATTAATTTTTCCTCCTTTTGCTTTTTACTTTCTATCACAAGGCTGCTATTGTGTAGGCAGCTTGTCAATGTACAATATATTGGAAATGCTCTGATAGGAGCAGAGTGATTAATTGGCTTGGCTGTATTGAAGGCATAACAATTTGTAGTCAAATGATTTTTTTGTCAGCATTAAGATCTCTTCTGAGAAATATACTCTATGGGGCACTCCTTTAAAAAATGTGTTTTAAAATTTCATCAGAGTTCAGATTTCTTCCTAAAAAAAGACTATATTAAGTGCTTTTTTGTTTGTTTTATCATCATCAATTATGATCTTGTTACTAATGTGGTAGCTTTCTTCCAGAGCTTTCTTGTTTGTTAACTAATAATGAAACCTATGCTGTTGTGAATTTCAATTTACTATTAGTGTTGTTTAGTAAATAAAGAATGTCAGCAGTAGGCAAAGATATTTTAAATCAACTTCAGATTTAAAACCTAGTATACATTGTATTCTTGTATCCTCTAAGAGCTTTATATTGAGTACTGATTCAGTAAAGCATATGAAGAGCACATCCTTTATTTAGATAATCTGTATTGTGATACAAATGATATAAGGAATGGGAATGAACATTAAAATCAAGTGTCTATATTCAAGTAGTCATCCATTCACTGTTTGAGATTTACTGAAACTATCTAAAGAACTTTGATCTTAATATTTATTTTAAAAAATCCCAAACAAACACTTGTTTTGTTGGTTGTTGTTTTTTTGTTGTTTAGTATTTGTGCTAATATTCTAGCTGCAGATAGAGAGTTTGATCCACTTTAAGAGGATACTTGAAACTAGCTCCGTGTTTGAATGCTGGACAAACATTCCCCCAGTCTTGCTTTTCTTTCAGCTTTCAGTAAGGGTAGAGCCATGACAGTGCTTGGGAAATTGGAGTGTTGCTATGGAAATAGATGTGATACCACCAGTTTATGCTTCATTGCCACATCCAATGCAAACATATAAATGAGGGAGAAATTTCTAGGATACTGTATCTACAGAAAGGAAAAAATAAAATACACCAAATGTTGGTATTAATTATAAGTTAATTGAGGCATTTTCAATATATCATGACATTCAGATTTATTTTTTTTCTGTAGCTGATCAGTAAAGCACTTGTCTGAATTTTGAGAGGTTCATGTTTTGTGCCTGATTCAAACTGATTGGAGACAAACCTATTTCAACCCAGGAATTAGGGTGCTCAACAGAGATGTCAAGTTACAACAGAGTTTACATAAATACTCTGTTGTCCTACTCTCTTGGTTTCATCTGGGATAGAGTTAATTTTCTTCCTAGTAGCTGGTACAATGCTGCATTTTGGATTTAGGATAAGAGTAATGTTGATAACACACTGATGTTTTGTTTGCTGCTAAGCAGTGTTTATACAGCATTTAGGCCTTCTTTGCTTCTCACCACACCCCACCAGTGAGGAAGCTGGAGGTGCACAAGAAACTGTGAGGGGACACAGCCAGGACAGCTGACCCCAGCTGACCAGAGAGATATTCCATATTCCATATATACTGAACATGGCACCATGTTCAGTATATAAACTAGGAGGAAAGCTGGCTGGGGGACACTGCTCGAGAATTGTCTGGATACTGGTTGGTGGATGGCGAGCAACTGCATTGTGCATCAGTTGTTTAGTATATTCTAACTAATTTCTCAAATTGTTGCTGTTATGGTTGTTGTTTTCTCTTCCATTTCTATCCTATTAAACTGTCATTATCTCAACCCACAAATTTAACTTTTTTTTTTTCCCAATTCCCTCCCACATCTCACTGGCAGGAGGCAGTGAGTGAACAAGCAGCTGTGTGGTGTTTAGCTACCTC